CTTAATTACAAAATTATTTTTAAAAGAGGGCAAAAAAGTATTAGAACCATTTCCAACCCAATTAAGATTTCTTTACATCCCGTAGCTTTAAAAAAAAAACCGAACAAACAAAAAACCCCACAATAAGCACTTGTCAGTTTTGAAACATGAAGAGTTTTAAAGGAAAGTTAAAAGGTGTGCATGTGAAAGTGTACTGACATGAGACAGAGAGTTACCGAAAGAATATCTAATTCACAAAATTTTTTTAGCCTCAGCTGAAGATCAGCTGTCTCTTAAAGCATGAAAACACTTTTCACAAGGTGGCAGTATAGTGCTTAACTAGCCTCCTGTCGTAGGGACAGTTCTGAAAACGGGGTACTCATCTTCATTTAAACTAAAGCAATAGCCTAAGAAAAACCAAGAGCTTTATGGACTTGCCTTAAGTCATGCTGGAAGGTCTTTCCAAATCAATTTCTTAAATATGACCAAGAAAACAAATTTTCCAAACACATTTTTGTATTTGCCAAATGAAAATTAGATCATGTATGAGCAAAGAGGGTGCATGAGAAAAGAAAATTTATGTTACTCAGACAGAATTGTGTTCATAACCTTGGCCTTGCACCATGGTTTTGACCATGTTTAGCAACCATATGCTTAATTGTAGCTTAATCTCAATTGCAGCCAAACAGTCATAGAACTGATTAACTAACTACAAGGGATGAAGGTATCCAAATAAATAAATCAGGCTGCTTAAACAAGATGCAAGGCACGGCAAAGTTTAATTCCTTTTAGTATTTAGCCATTCTTACACTCGGTTCAAAGGCCTGGGAAGGCATTCTATGATGTGCTTACTTGCAATAATGGGAGACTGGACTCTATGGCCCAGAAATTTATTTCAGCTCAGAGTAAGCAGGACCCACCCCCGCTCCAACCAGCTGCTGGGGGTACACTGGTCAAAAAAAAGGTTGAAAACCCCTGATGTAGTGTATTTTAAAAAGTGCTGGATTTTTGAGAATTCCAGAATCTTGGAAACTGGATTTATGAGGTTATACCATAGTCTAAAGCACCCAGCATGCCATACATGTAATAACAACTGGTCCTGGGCCACTGAACACCTCAGTAAAGTAAATCTGATACTGCATCACTCCAAGAGGATCGGGTATCGTTATCTAGGAGTTACAAATTGTAAGTAGTTAGCTATTTTCAACTTTTTACACATCTTACAAAGAATGATTTTTGACAGTACTTTAAAGAAAAAGAATGTAAATTGCAAATGCAAATTGCACATGCTCTGGCTTGCTATAAAGAATGGTATGATTATGGAGATAAATGCTTAATGTACAATTTCTTATTACAAAAATTCAGAGTGCTTACTACATAAGAATTACATGACTAGGATGGACTAATACAATGTAAAACTAGTTAGTCAAAGGTTTTTGCTTTGTACTCTTATATCTTCTATTTTGGCAAAGAGGGCATAATTATGAAAAACCTAATAGTATCATCCATCTTACTGAGCCAAGAAAAGTTGAAGATAATCCAATGCTTTCTCAGTGGCAGCTGACTTGTCCAGTGCTAGGGATGGCATAGGCCAGTATCTCTTAGGCTGACTAACAGGAACAAGTTCCACTTCAATTTTGTATATGTGCATTAGGAAATGAGTAATTGTACTTTAATGGATGATTAATTAACCGGAATGTTTCACATATAATAATTCAGTAGGATTCTCAAAGTGATTCACAACTGACAAATAAGACGATAGTGATGGGCTTTTCAAATGACTAATTAACAGGATTTCATAGCATCCAGAAGTACTGAACATGCTCCAGGAGGAGCTTGTTCAACTCTTTTTCTACAAATTTAAAAAAAAACAAAAACACAAACACCAAAAAAAAAAACCACACAACACAAGAGTTCAGGTCCAAAACTCCCTGCCCATAGGCATGTAGAGCAGTGTTGAGGTAGCCTGGGAGGGGCTCAATCCAAAACTGTGCTTCAAAAATCCCTATTCAGCTGCCATCTAAATGTGGAGATGCCCAAACTTGCTTGGTACCTCCCTTTTAACTTGGAAGTTCCCCAATCACCTTCAGGTCTGTTTTGCAAACGTGCTTGCAGTCAGAGCACATCTGCCTCCCCGTGCACCCCTCAGCTCCCCCCCCCTCCCCAAGGGCACAAGCCATTGGGATTGAGAAAACAGAAAAAGCAACAAAGTCCTCAGAAGGACCAAATCTGGTAGGCATGCTTAGTTAAAAACCCCTGCCACACATTAGCAGGATTGAGCCCCCTCACAAAATACTAGAGTAGCTGCTTTATGTTTAACTGGTTAGCACCAGCCCTCCCAACCATCTCTTTGCCTAGTGGTTAGAGCCCAGGAAGTGGGATACCTAGATTAGATTGAATTGTCTTGGACAAGGAAGGCAAAGGCACATGTCCAACCACTCAAGAGTGCTCTAAATCACTTGGAAACACTCTTCTGGGTGAGGGTACTTTCCATCTCTCCCACTGAAGCTCTGGCACTGTATAGGCTGGATTTAAAAAAAAAAACAAACCCCAAAGCAGTCCAATGCTTGTGTAAGTGTAAAATGCATAAAATTGTTCTAGGAGAAAGAACCACAACCTATAGACAGTACCCTAACTTCTAACTACCAGGCTCTAGTTGGAATTTGATTGACCACATTAGTGACTCAAAGATTTTTTTTTGTTTCAAATCCAAAAGCCAATAGCAGTTTATACAGTTACTTTAAGTGACCGTTTTAATATACTAAACAAATATTAAACTATTTATTAATGATGGCCCCTGCACAAGTTAGTTACAGGCATTTAATCAAAGTACTTGCAACTGGGATATAGCAAGGGAGATACTAGCTGTTCCACGCTGGTTACCCTAGCAAATTAGCTCACACTAGCAAAGAACACACCTCTTTCACTCCATGTCTCCCTTAGATTTCTCATTACATCATTTTCTTCAGAGTCCCAGAAATGGATCAAAGCTAGCCCCAAACTTCTTTACATACTCATCTTACTGTTCCCCAACCATAAAAGCTTTTTCTACATTCTTTTTTTTTCCTTTATTTCAAGGGTGCTCAACCCCCAGCCGTGGGGCTAGATCCAGCTCATGATGTCATATCACATGGCCTGCAGGGATCCCCACAGGTCTGGAAATCTGATGGCAGGGGAGTGGTGACACTGCCCCCCGCTGCCAAATTCCTAGAACTGTGGGGAGCCCTGGACCCTGCGCACTGAATTGGGTGACCAATCCCAGAGCTCACAGCTGGATGCAGGGTGGTGACAGATGCCAGGACCCAATCCAAGCACATAGGGGCAGCAGGGCCCAAACCCCCACATGCAGAGGGTGGGAGAGAGGACATGCCAGGCCCCAGAATCATGTTAGCTTCCGGGGTCAATCCAGCCTACAAATGTAGGACTAAGCTGGCCTGCAGGGCCAAAAGCTTGAGCACCAATGCCTTAGTTCATTCTCAAGTATACTGGACCCATGGCGCTGACATGCCAATCTTCTTGGCAGTATCTGCCAATTTTCCTCCTACATTAAACAGATCTACCATCCTTTACCTAAATCAAGGGTGTCAAAATTATGGCTTGTGGAGTGGTCTCATTCAACTCAGGAGGTGCCAGGACTTTGGTGGCTGAGCCTGCTGCCAAAATCTGGCTAGAAAGCCCTACTGTGGATGCGTTTTGGTAGCAAGGTGTGAGCAAGAGCTGTGTCAATCTCTGCAACTTCCTGAGCCAACACAGCGCTGCTTGCCCCACCACTGGAGGTGGGTCCAGATCCCTACCCCCTACTGCCAAGCAACCTTCATGGGCTGGAAGTGGGGAGTTGACACCCTTAGTCTAAATCTTTGACCCTTCCATCCTGACCCTATCAGCATTTTAATGGTCTGTCCCTGTCTCCTTAAACCACAGAGCTGTGGAAGGCTGTCACGTTTATATCTGGTATAATAAAACATCCATCACCTATTGCATAATTACAATACATTTTTCTAACTCACACAGTTCCCTCTGGTCTTTCTGATCCTACAAAGCTTGTATTTTGTTCTAGTCACGTAGCTTCAATAGGAGGGATAGAATGGTCCTCTTCAGTTTGGCCATTTATTTAGGAAATCTTCTCACCAATGTCATTATGGAAGTGGTAGCAACCTCTTATTTCACCTGCTGCTCCAGTTACATCAGAAAAGAAAACCTTACTTAGCTCTTTAAAAGGATGATTTTAGGTACCCACTCTCAGGGAAGGAGCCAGGCTCTGGATATGTAAACCCCTGCTTACAGCCCCAGTTTCAGAATCAATATGTTGAGGGCATGGGTATGGAGATGCTCCTGCATTTAAAACTGCTTACTGGAAAGCACTATGTAGATCTCCACTCAGAAGGGCAATGAAAAAATTCCCATGGGAGGCACCTAACTCCCTGCATCCCTAAGAAGCTTAGATGCAGCATGCTCCTAGAAGTCAAGAGTTGTAACACCTAACTTGCTGTGGACTTATTGAATAGAGCTGACAGTAAGATCAAATACATTTCCTATGCACAATTTGTTTAGCAGCCAGGAATTTTGCAATAAAAAAAAAAGGCATTTTAACAGCATGACTGGCAGGTCCAGAGATTGCTGCTGCATGTCCTTGAATAAGAGCTCTGGTTCACAGGCATTAAAACTGAAAAAAGCTAACAGAGTGGGAAAGAATGCCAAATAAATAGTGACCAAGTGCCATGAAAGAAGACTATTATGTTCCAACACAGCTCTTGTGCTGGCTGGAGTAGATACCATCTAAAAATCAAAGTCGTTATACAACCAGTTACCAGTACTTTTACTTCCAGTTCGTAAGATCATGATGGTGATTCCTACACTAGAATTCCTCTTTAACACCAGTACTCAATTTATGGGTTGATAGCTGCTACTAGGCTATAAGCATTATTACTGGGGGGAGAATTATTGGGAAATAAATATTTCATGTATTTAATTAATTTTGTATTTAATTAATGTTAATTATACTTAAGATATCTAGATACAAAAAGAGTGGAACTTGGATCTTTTATTTACAGTTTTATTTTAATCTTTGTTGTTAACAAAAAAAATAAATAAAATGCAAATTAAAACAGCAGCTGAAACAACACTGAAAGTGTTAATGGGTCCATTCATTAACTCTCAAGTTCACTACTCAATTCAGTTGCACAAGATTTGGTTTTAAAAATCAAAAACATCAAAACAATGTGCTTGATCAGTAAAGAACCTCTCCCCAGATCAGAGTGAGGTTATGCTTATGAAAGGACTCTCTACTTAAAACATTGAGAGAAAAAAAATTACTTCAACAAGAGAATTCAACAGCTTGTGTAAATCTCTCCGAAAACAATGGGAAAACAAGCTCTTCATGACTATCTGGAAGAATAACATTTAAGATGAGTACAATGACAACAGCCCATTATTGCCCAACAGTACATCTGAAGTAAGCAATTTACCAGAACTTCCATTCTTAAGACACTGTTGGCTTAGTCTTGAGCAATTCAAGGATCCCACGGGAACATAAGCAAACCTTGCATAGGTTTCCCTCCTCACGAAAGGAAGGTACGAACTGTACCCTTGATCGTCCCCCTGCAAATAGGGCATTTTCGAAGGGAAGGTGCACATTCTTTGCACACCACTAAATGACCACATGGAATAAATACAATTGAAACTTCTTTGTCCATGCACACTTTACAGGTTCTTTCCTCCTGTAGCCTCCTCAGCTGCTCTTCCATGGGTAAACCTACACAGAAAAAGATTTCACTTAGCTTTGTTTTTGTTCTCTTTACATGATCTCTTCTGCACTATGATTAGAAATGTGGAAGTTGCATAATCCAGTTTGGCTTCCCCCACTCACCCCC